AAATAACTAACCAGAGGAATACAGGTTACTGCACAGGTTTTAATTTCCAGAAATATTTTTTAAATTTGGTACTTGCTAATATCTCTAACAAATTGGGTGTTCATTAGTATAATTGTCACTAGTTCCCAGACCTAAAATTCCATGTACCCTGTAAAATCTACAAACAGGGAACACAGTCTATGTTTAGTTCTTTTGATTAGAAAGGAGACTAATACTATATTAAATCAGACCATAGTGTGGTAGCAACTAGGAAATAACTGCTTTTTTGTTGTTGTTGCTATTCAGATTATATCTAAATTGTTGTTTAATTCTTGGTAGCACATATATAGTAGGAATTTGTCTGCTGGCAGGTAGGGAAAAGAGGGAAGAATAGTGGAATATGAAATGAATATTTATAGATTACCTATATGTACCAGGTATATTGATAGAAACTTCATATTTAGCAAATCATTTTACTTTAATGACAAACTTTAGGAGAGGTATTATTATCTTCATTTTGCAAATCAGGAAATGAAGACCCAGAGAGAATAAGAGACAGGCTCAATGTAACCCAACTAGTATTTGATATGGCAGAGGTAGAACCTAAGTGGATCTGACTCCTAAGACCATGCCTATCCCCTAATTTAAATGACATAGTATGTGCCAGTGGGCACAGATTTAATTTCAACTTCCTGGCCTTGTAGGTCCTAGGGACATTGCTTTACATTTATAATTTCCTGAGAAGATATCATTGGGCTCATATCATAGCCCTGCTTGAGCATAATACATACCTCATAGAGTTTTTGTATGGATTAGATAAGTTATTACATAAACCTAATTAGAATAAAGTCTACACATAATAAGTACTCACTAAATGTTACTTATTACTTAAGAGTTCAAGTAATAACTAACCCCTGTACCTTAGGAAGACTAGTTGTAGAAACTTGGGTATTTGTAGCCTGGGCAGATTAAGAAGATGCAAGTGACTAGGTCAGGGTCATAAGATCGAGCCCCGTGTTGGGCTCCACGCTCAGCATGGAGTCTGCTTGAGTTTCTCCCTCTCCCTCTGCCCTTCCCACTCATTCATTCTCTCTCTCTCTCTCTCTCAAATAAATAAATCAATCTTTAAAAAAAAAAAAAGATGCAAGTGACACCTTTCCCGTAAAATAGGGAATAGACTTAATCAGTGTTGCTACGAGGCAACATGAGGACTAATTGGTAAGAGTTCAAGTAAGCTGATTTTGATTATAAGTGAACAAAATTTTCTCTAATTATATCAGCTGTCAAGGGAATAAGCCACTTAGGGTATAGTGAATCCTCTGTTCTGGATCTAATTTATATACCACCATAGATCACTGAGCACCCCTTCTAGGCCACCCCCTACCTCCAAGCCTGGGCCACTTGTCTTGCTCCTAATCTAAATCTAAATCTAAATGGAAAGTTAACACTCCTGAAACAGCATTTTACCAATGAGAGAATAGAAAATGAGAAGACACCAACAGGTGAACTGCTAACCTCCTTTAACCAACTCTTCCAAATTACAGTTGTTTCATTTATCATATCTGGAGACCAGGACTGATTACATGATTAGTAGGGCCTAGTGAAAACTGAAAATGTGGGGCTTCATTTAAAATAAGAATTTCAAAATGGTGACAACAAAGCCTTAAATAAAGTGTAGGACCCTTCTAAGCATGGAGTGATTGCACAGGTCACATGCCCATGAAGTTGGCCCTGATGGAGACAACCTGGGACTCTAAGCGACCACCTGTAATTTTTGTAAAGCTATGGCCAGTTCAGTAACTTACTCTCTTGTATTCACTTTCTTCCCTTTTCCTTCATGCCCATTTCCCTCTGATTATACCCCACCTTCACCCCTAATAAGGCAAGCTTTGTTTTAGGTTTTATTTTCTAGGAATGTAGACCATGACACTGTATAACCTGATTTTTTAAAATTTGAGAGGCTAGTCCAAATCCCTTTTAATGTTACTTCTATGTCTAAGATACCGTAATTCCATTGATTGAAGGATATACATTTTAAATAATTGTGTTGTTCATTTAATGCAACCATGAAATTGCATGTGAGCTAGAATCCTTGGATTATTAATCTCCAATATTTTATTTTCTTTTGTTTAGGCATAATATTACTAATTTATTAGAGGGGAAGACAAAAGAGCTTAACAAAGGTGTCCCTTCCCTTCCTTATCCCAGTTCCTTACTTTCCTGTTTGTCTAAGCATCTCCTGCAACCCTGCCACCTTTACATATTATTAGACTTACTTCAACTTCCTGCTTCTTTTCCAAACTCACTGGTAATTGATATGGTAACTTCCAATCATTATGATTGTGTCTAACCTCTGTATGCACATTCATTTATGGAAATAGGCATAAATTTGACATATGAGTGGAATCATATGGTATTTGTCTTTCTCTGACTGACTTATTTCGCTTAGCATAATTCTCCCTAGCTCCATTCATGTTGTTGCAAATGGCAAGATTTCATTCTTTTTATGGCTGAGTAATATTCTGTGTGTGTGTGTATGTGTGTGTATCTTTTTTCTTCTCAAATCTAGGGTTAGGGTGTTAGGGTTATGGCCAGGGTTAGTGTTAGGGCCAGAAAACAAAACAAATAAGCAAAGAGAAGAAAGAAACAAACAAAGCCAGAAACAAGACTCTTAACTACAGAGAACAAACTGATGGTCACTGGAGGGGAGGTGGGTGGGGCAATGGGTTAAATAGATGATGGGGATTAAGGGATGCACTTGTGGTGAGAAGCACCAGGTGTTTTATCAAAGTGTGGAATGACTATATTGTACACCTGAAAATAACATTACACTGTATGTTAGCTAACTGGAATTTAGATAAAAACTTATTTAAAAAAAGAAACTGAAAAAAAGTAGGCATAACTTTAAATCTGAACCAAGACTTTTTGAAATATGCATATTCATCCATTTATTGAGTATTATGTTTGACAAATACAGAAGGGAAAGCAAAGTATTAGATACAGATCTTACCATTATGTAGCTTGAGATTTTATAATGGAGGCTCTGTGTTTATGTGCACAAAACAAAAATTATTATCAAAGTGGAAGGTGATATGTGGAAGATCACTTGAACAAACAGAAGTGCCTATAAATGGTAGAGAATTTGGACTAGAATTCTGGAGGGACTTATAGAGGATTTAGGACTTGACATGTGAAATTGAGGAGGACAGATGTCTGGCACATATTGCTTTATTCAGAATTCAACTTGATTAAAAATATCATCTCTTGTTTTTTTGAGATATCTAGACTTTTGTGTGCATAGCACTTGATTAGGCTATTTCTGTACTGAACAATCAGAAGATGAATCATTGTCACCATCCCATTTTTACTGCTGGAATTACTATTTCTTCTAGTGGGGGGATTATTATTGTGACCTAAATCTGGCCTTTGGGCACATTTTGTTTATTACAGAACATTATCATGAGTTTATTTCTTTTATGTAACCTAAATGACATAACTAACTTGTGAATTTCATACCTTCAATTTTCAACCAAGCACATGGGGAAGAACAAACCTTTTAAATAATTATTGAGACTCTAGTAGAAAAATCCAAGTGAAAAAATTCAGTTTTAAAGTAAGAGAAAATGATTTCCTCCACAGCAAACTCATCCTTTAAATAAAGCAAGCAATGATTATCGAACCATTAGTAAATTTTTGGCAAGACAAAACTCAGACTTCTCTGATAAAGAATAATTTCCAAGCTTGTCAGAGATAAACAAGTGGAACTTAATTGGAAAGAGTTATTTGAATTGACAGATTAATAGAAAAAAATTGTCTTTAGTGTTGGTGTTTGATTTTCAGTCTCTTGAACTTCCGTGTATATTTAAGGCAATTTCTCCTTCTTGAGTTATAAAGGTATGGGTGTCAGTGTGATGAATTGTGTCAGAAGAGTTTGGCTGAAATTTGCCAGGAGGTTGATTTTGTCAGTCTCTTGAATTTTTCATTGCAATTCTGATATGCCTCTGAATGAGACCAAAATTTACTTTAAAAAAAAGAGCTGTAATATTACCCTATTTCTGTTTCACAGTACTTTAATGAAAAGAACAGTGTTTCAGAGCCTTGATTGAAAAACCAATGTCACAGTCTAACCTATTAAATTCTAACACTTAACCATGTCTTTTCAGCTAGAACTCTGCCAAATGCATTGATATTGATAGAAGTGTCTTCATTTGTAATTGGCAGTCATTCAATAATAGCATATCTATAAAATAGTATACATTTAAAAAGTAACTCTGTGAAGAGAGGGCATCATAAGAGATGGGGAAAATCTGTATGTATTTAGGAGCAGTTTGAGTACTATATTTAAAATTATTGGTTGTCAATGAGGAGAGAAAAAAGTACAGATAACGTTAGGGGTAATTAAAGCAATTAATGATAGTGTTTGAGGGCACTCTGAAGCTTTGTGGGTATGTATGTGAATATGTATTCTCTGGGGTTTTGCTCTAAATTCTCTTTATGTATCAACAGTAATTTTTCACATCTCTATACATATGAAAAGTACTAAAGACAAGAACTTTTATCATAGATGTTGTTTTATAAAAATCATGATGTTTCAACAAAAGAATATTTGAACCCTTTTTATAATTTACCTTTATATCATTTATATAGCCAAGAACATGCATCAATAAAGTAAGATCTCTTTGAAACTTGGTTTCTCTTTAATCTTCAAATTAGACTTTAAAGAATGAAGTATTAGGAATTCCATCAATAAATTTAAATAGAAATGGCTTCATTTGAACTAATGGCTGAATAAAATGGTGACATTTTCATATTAAACATGATGATTTGGTATATTATATTACACATTTTCACTTATTTCATAGAGAGTAGAATTTTTATGAGCAGTAATTCAGAAAAATGTGAGTTGACTTCATGGAACTATTCTGCACATTAGAAAATACTTTAAATGATACTGGTTTTTTTTAGTTGTTTTATGGAATATTTGGTAAAATACTCTAAACACTTTGCACATTGTTCTTTAGTTTCAGCTCAAATTCTCAAGAGCAACCTTACAGCAATGGAACAGCAAATTATTAATCTGGAACGTGACATCAAGAAATTCCCTGAAACAGAAAATCAACATGATAAGTTTGTGGAGAAGATGACAATATCCTTTATTTATTTAAGCATTTTGTTTATTAGTTTCTCCCTCTCTCTCTCTGCTTGTCTGTGTGTGTGTGTGTGTGTGCGTGCGTGCATGGGCGCATGTGTGTATTTACTGTGTGGTTAGTTCTAAACTTACCAGTCTATCTATTCAGGCTGTCTGGATGAATTTGTGTATGGGCTGTTTTTGTATCAGCAGCATAAATTTTAGTTCACAGTGTTTGGAACCAGGTAAAGTAGGCAAGGAAACAATTATATAAGAAAAAAATGCCATTTATCAAAGAAGCATTTCATTTGAAGGCCCACTAGATACACAAGGTAAGTCTTATAAGGCTTGATTAGACCCAAAACGAAACAAAGAATCCCCTTATATAACCAGTTGTTTAAAGGAAATGATCACCATAAGATTTTTTGGTCAGAGACTTTTTTTTCTCTTTGCATGTGTACAGGTATTTCCTGAGGGTACACATGCATATTCAAGGGAATCAGAGGATGACTAATATCAGTAGATTGAAAGGATTGGGAAGGATAGGTAAAATGGATGCTGGATGGAGGGATAGATGAATTGATCAGTAGATTATGTATTTCAATAAATTATAGAAGCTGTATATAACATTAAGCATTCCTTCTAAATAGATGTTTTTAAACCCCTATTTTATCTACAGTATATTCATATAAAATATAGAAATATATGAAAGAAGAACTTGAGAAATAACATTTAGCTTGAATTATTTAATGTTAAATCTGGCATCTAAAAGATAAACTACATTAGAGCTGGGTTTTGTTTTTTTTTTTCTATTTTGGTTTTCAAAAGTTAAAGTCATATCCTCCTCCTCTAGGTGTAAATAAATATCTTGAACTGATTGATCACCATTTTATATCTCTAGAGGGAATAAATACTGTAAATTCTTTATCTGATAATAAGTAAATTCTTTCAACAACTATATGGCAGTCACCTTGTTTCAAGGTTAAATCTTGCCTTTTTCTTCTGTGATATGCTTACTTTCCTGCTAAACTTAGAAATTATGGTACTGAACTCAAATTACTTGAGAATGGCAATTTAGATGTATGTGAAAAATGTTTTTTCATTCTAAGGCTTTGGGTTCATGAATTAATACTGTGTTTTATGTGGTCTGATAGTGATGCTGAGTACTTTAATAAATAGGAATACTGGAAACAGAAGTTTGTGGGTGACTGGAGGCAGGAAATCCTCAAAAATAACCTTGGATTATGTAACTTCCCACATCGGGATACTTAATGTGAAGATTTAACTTTATTGCTTTATTTAACTGTATTGCTTTATTAGATTTTTCTTACAAATATGTCATATTGTCCTGTGGCTGGAAACACCACCTACATCTTTCAGCTTTTGATTTTGGTTCTTGCCTCATATATTTGAATTTAATTCCCAAACCTCTTGTTCTTTTTAACATTTTCTTCTTCGATTGGCTTATGGCCACACAACAGCTTGCAACACTGAGGAGGCTTTGTTGCTCATTTAGAAAAAAAAGTAATTTCAAACCTTCATGAACTTGGCCTAGACTCTTTATTTTATTTCTGTCTTTATTCAGGTAATTAAGCACTTTAAAATGAAAATCCAGAGCCTTCTGTATCCATATGTTACAGATGAATGGTTATTCTTCATTTAAGTGGCACAAAAGTGTGACTATTTGTCCACAAGGAGATTGCAAACTATATTAAAATGTATGGGGCTCTTACTTTGCATATCATATTTATTTAAAAAACAAAATAAAATATACAGCAATTTATTTTAGGTAAAAAGTTTAGAATATTGAGTTGAGTTGGTTAAAAACTCCAAGTTAATGAATTATAATGATAGAACTGTTGCTCAAATTATTCCTGCTTTAGAAGACTCCGTAGGCACCCATTGAGAGTTTTAATCTTCTAGAAAATTACAAACAAAATACATGATCTTCATATGTATATATGTTATATGAATTCTGGTGGCTAATTAGTATTTTTCTACTCTTCTGGCACTTCCATAAAAGAAGGATATTTTAAAGTGGAATACTTGATTATGTTTTAAAATTAGAACCCCGATTCTATTTTTCATACAGGATTCTTTGTAGTGGATGATTTTTCCGATGTTTCTGCCCCCTGCCAGTAATTTGTTTTGCCTCAGGTCACTGAACTTTAAACTGAGCACTACAGGCACAAGTATGGGAGTGGTTTCCCTTAAAAGTAATCTTACCTACTTAAAGAGTAATCTCTCTTATAAGGACTGTGAGTTCAAAAACTGAATAGCACTGTCATGCCTCTAGGTTTTCAGAATAGCACCAGTACTATAGTTAGCAACAATGGCATGATGGCCAGAGACCAGCTGAATATGCAGGTTGAATCTTCACCACATCTCCAGATTGAGCTAAGTCCCATAGCACCTTATGTTCACCCTTACTCTTTCACAATATTGATCGAACACTTAAAATGTGCTAGGCATTGCCAGACCATGAAAATATGATATCGCACAAGATGGAAAACTTGACCTCAGGTTACTGACAGTCTGGCATTTACATGCTTCTCTGTCTTGCTGTCTCCATGGTCAAGATAATATATGGTGTGTTAATTTCTATATGCCCATCACAACGTGTAGCATTTAGCAACATGTAGGCACTCAGTAGGTACATTTTGAATCACAGAATATAGCTAGAGACAATGAAGGCCATATAGACCCAACTCCTACTTTTAATTAGCACTTCCAAAGGGATATTGGTGAACAGCAGTAGGCTGTGCTTGTGGTTATTAAACTTTTCTTCATATAAATCTTCTCAGGGGGAACCTGGGTGGCTCAGTTGGTTAAGCACCTGCCTTTGGCTCAGGTCATGGTCCCAGGATCCTGGAACCTGCTTCTCCCTCTGCCTGCCATTCCCCCTGCTGTCCTCTCTCTCTCTCTTTCTCTCTCTGACAAATAAATAAATAAAATCTTCTAAAAAATCTCAGGAACTTAAGTAACATTAAATCACCTTTTTAGAGCATGCATGTAAAATATAATCAGATTTAAAAGGGATAATCCAGACCTTTTTAAAGGAAATGTCAAAAAAGAAAAACTGACCTAGGAGGTTAAAAAAAAGAATAAAACCTGTCCTATGAATGGATTGGCTCAGGCTATTTCCTGCATCCTGAAAAATAGCCAGTGGCTTTGGAAGGAACCTTATTACCTCTGTCTCCCTTTCTCTATCCAAAATTGGTTGCTTGTTCTTCCTCAAAAAAACAGATGGAAAGAGTAAGCAAAACTAATATTAGAAGACTACAAAACAGGGAGAAATGGGGGAAATTGTCTTATAAATCATGGTAAGAGTCAGTAGGGAGGTTCTAGGATCAAAGGGGATGATCTATAATGGATATAATAGCACTATATATGTATAGAAATGCACATTGTTCAAAAATCTAAATAACCATGTGGGGAAGTTATTGCTATTATCCTGATTTTTAAAAAATTTTTTAAGGATTTTATTTATTTATTTGACAGAGAGAGACACAGCGAGAGAGGGAACACAAGCAGGGGGAGTGGGAGAGGGAGAAGCAGGCTTCCCCCTGAGCAGGGAGCCCGATATGGGGCTCGATCCCAGGACCCAGGGATCATGACCTGAGCCCAAGACAGACGTTTAACGACTGAGCCACTCAGGCGCCCCATCCTGATTTTTTTAAAAAGCAAAGTTCTTGGTATTCTTCATGTGCTTATGCTCATAATAGTATTGAAAGTTTTAGTTCAGTTGTGTGGTGAATTAAAATAGAACCTATATTCTTTTTTTAGTAAGTTTAAAAATGGTAATATTCACTCTCATTTATTGAATGTTTCCTCTGGATTAGACATTGCCTAATTTTACCTACTTGAAGTTTTAAAAGATGTTCTTGTTTATTAAATGAGGAGTATTTTACATATCTAAATGCTAAAATTGACCACCATTATGCCTGTTTCATTGTAGTGAGCTCAAATCATGTCAGGATAACTTCAACAACCATGAAGTTATTTGTAATAGCCCTGTTGTTTTTAACTCATTAATTTCTAGAGGTTTCTCTTTTTCTCTTTTAAGATTACTAGGAATTATGTATTCTATGTTTGTGTTTGGCTCCTGTTGCAAATAATGATGGGGTGAGGTTCAGAATCACACCTGAAATTACATTTTCAGTTTTGAGAAATAGCCCATACTAAAGAGAGGTGAGAGGGAACACTGTGAATGGACTGCTAACTAAAAGCCCATTAACCACAATGTTGACCTTACTTCTTATATCCTGTTGACAAATTTCTTACCACAGTTACTCACATAGATTTTGTCAGTGGCAGGGCTGTCTATTGTCCAAGATCAGCTTAGCTTTTTGTTTGACTGCTGGCTAAATCATTTCACCAACTGGAGGACAGGGAATGACTCAGCAGCAGGGGCACCTTTAACACATTGACAAGAAGAGCTGACAGAATGCTAATGACATTAACACCCTGTCAACTATCAACTCCTGGAATTTCCTCATAGTAGGAAGGAAAGTCATTTGAAGTGGTTAAAAATCAAGTTACTGAGGAAGCACACTGTCCTTACCAGACAATTCAAAACAGATTTGGGGTCTGCACTGCACTTCAATTGTGTTAAATTTTATTCCACTTTCTTTAGTAAGAGAATTTTTTTAAAGATGAAAAAAACAGTTATTATTCAACCACAGTAACATTAATCACATTTGAAAACATGCCATTAGGGTGCCTGGGTGGCTCAGTCGTTAAGCATCTGCCTTCGGCTCAGGTCATGATCTTGGGGTCCTGAGATAGAGCCCCACACTGGGCTCCCTGCTTGGCGGGAAGCCTGCTTCTCCCTCTCCCACTCCCCTTGCTTGTGTTCCTTCTCTCGCTGTGTCTCTCTCTGTCAAATAAATAAATAAGATCCTAAAAAAAAAGAAAGAAAACACGCCATTAACAGGTTTTAGTGAGATAATGATTCACACTTTGTAAAATAAATGCCATGTAATAAAGAAAACAAAAACAAAAAGGAACATCAAAAG